AACCGCGTGCCAATGTTGGCTCCCTATCGGCCTGCCCCAGCTCCCAATCCAGGCGTAGAAAAAGCAGCCCCCCCCCCCCCCCCCCCCCCCCCCCCCCAGCCCCTTCACCCAGTGGTCGCGCTCCCCCTTCTGCGCCCTCCCTCACCCCCCCCAGTCTGCTCGTCCTCTACCACGACCCCTCCCACGTCCGGCAGTGGTCCCTCGCCCACTGGCGCGACATGCCGCACCGCCACCTCTACCAGTCTCACCACTGTCCCTCATCCGCCTCACCCTCCGATGACGCCGCCTCATCATCACCACTATCTGCGCCTGCAAGGTCCTCACCCCCGGGCTGCCAGTCGTGGTCTGCATCATCGCGTGACGGTGGCCCAACATATGGGACAGCCTCCGCCCTAGCCCAAGCCCGGTTCCCCCCTCGCTCAGTGTCTTCTACCTCTCCGTACACACTCCCTAATTGTAATGTAGGAGCCCAGCCAGCTAGTGAGGCACGGGGGTTGCCTCAAATGTTGAGGTAACGCGGCACCATGAAGGCTGATGTGGCGCATGCTGCTGCCCGGAGGGGTGTGGTGGCACGAGAGGGTAATTTGGGAGGGCCGCGCTGCCTTGCCAAGGGAGAGGCGGTGCGCGCTGTTCTCTGCAGCCGCGTGAAGCGCTCTCCACTGCCGCGTGCTCTTGTCTCTGCAGCCGGGCATAGACCTCACGAAGCCGCGCGCGCTGCTCTCCGCAGTGGCGCGACGTGCTCTCTTCAGCGATGCGCGCTGCTATATTGGAGGGTTGATGGAGGGACCCACAATTGCTGATGCACAGTTTTGGGAATGGGATCTAATGACTGGTTCAGGGCGGAATATCCTAAATAAGGCAATTACTGAAGCCAATTCCTCGAAATTGTGGCTAAAAGTAATAGAAGTACTCACGTGTAGACAGGAGATTAAACTAGTCATACTAATCTAGGTCGAGTGTAGAACCTCAGCATAATGTCGAGTAAAAATGGGCAGGTTTCTTTTGACCCGCCAACGGGTCGGATCAACCTGACCCGTTATTGTAACAAAGACCCAAAGTTGGAACTGGTAGACCCGATACAACAGGTCAGTCCGACCCGTTCTGCTGAGCTAAGTACGGCTCACTAGTCGACCCAACCCGCCCGGGACTGGTTGACCCGTTTTGGCCGGGCCGACCTAGCTGGACAATGTGACTCGACCCGCCTATACAAGCGGGTTGGGCCAGGTCGACCCGACCCGTCAGGCCCTGATGCCCTGTCAAATCCCAACAAAATGTCTAGGTTTGATTTCACCTGTTCTAATCCCTACTGCATTGCTGTGCTTCCATCAACAAATCCCGTCAGTCACCTTTAGGGCATCACCTTTCAGTAAGTTACTGACACTTTTCGGTTCTCGCTCAACTAAAAATGTTTCTCCCCTTCACATCCTGTTGCGCTTGCACGTGTGAATGCAGGATTCCCAACATGAACAACCTTTCGGGGACCATCCCACCATCCACTGGAAGCCTCCTCTACTTGCAAGACTTGTAAGCTTCTATATCACGATGCGTTTGTTCTGTGCTTGGAATTTGCAACTGTGCCTGGGGGGGTGACCATGCCTATCCAGCATTTTGAAAGCCATGGCCTGGCTATCCTTGCTCTCCTCTCCATGGCAGCATTACACAGGGCACCAACCTCACATGTCCAGCCGACGACACCAGCTGTGTCAAGAAGCAAAATCCTGTGACCGCTTTCTGCAGCAAGTGCCGTTCCTTTTGCACAACCTGCGTAAATTCTACATGTGAGTGCAGCGCACTACATCATTGCATTAACAAAAAAATCTACATTCTTGTCACTTGACCCTTGAACTCCAATATCTCTAAGCTGCCTAGGTTCAGTGATTGCATCAATCAATCGTCTAGGTTTTCAAGACTTTCTTGACCTTGTGTCTCTGGACGTTCTTTTACGATTTCTCAAGTGCAAGAGTCGGCCCAAACCTCACCCAAGTGACCTCACCTCATCTGAAGTTTCTGAGCTTGTTTCTCTGGGCTGCTGGCAGCTGTCTCCCCAACCCCACCCACCCCATCGACAGCAAGCCCCAACACCAGCAGCAGCAGCAGCAGCAGCAGCAGTAGCAGCGGTGGCTTACCGTTGGCGGCAATAATTGGCATAAGTGTTGCTGCCGTGCTGCTGTTGCTGCTGGTTGCTGTGCTGCTCTGCCTCCGGCACAAGCGGCAGCAGAAACCAACAGGTGGGAATGAACGTTGTCACAATGTACATCGTATAGATTGGTGGCTACAAGTGCCTGAGTCCAAGAAGGCATACAGCCAAAAGGTCCCCTGGAAAGGAAGCAAGCAGAGGATGAGAGGAGCCGGCACAGAGCAAGAGGCAATCTGACAACGTGCTGTGATTCTTGGGTGGCTCCTGGGTAGGTTTTGAGGCGATTCAGAAATCAACAGGTGGGAAGGATGCATTGGTAGAGGTAAAGGACACCAAGTTCATAGCAAAGACCTCCAATAGATAGAGGTTGGAATAAATAGATAGTGGGAAGAGACAGGTGGGATAAGGGGGTCCCGTTGGGTTTAGCCGAGACCTCCAATAGATAGAGGTTCGAATCTTGTTCTCACGGAAACTAGTGTAAACACAAACACACAAAAGTAAATCATTTTGTTATTCGATGTGGTTTTGTTGTATTTAGCGGTGTATGTGTGCATGTGTGTGTTGGGTGGGGTTGCCAATGGATTCCGTCCAGACCTCACCCATCACCCATGGGACATTGACCCATCAGCCTCACCCCCTCACTCACTCCTCGCCTCTCACCCTTGCCCTCAACCCTCGGCCTCTCGCCCCACAAGCAGCCACGGCTGGCAGTTTCGCAGCTTTACACAGCATCGAGACTTCTCTCGCTGAGGTCGAATCGGCCACCAACAGGTGGTCCGCAGCCAACCAGCTGGGCTCGGGGGCCTTTGGTGACGTGTACAAGGGAGTGTCGCCGCGCGATGGCACCACACAGTGGGCTGTGAAGCGCGCCAAACTGATAGATGTTGACTTCCAGCGAGAGGTGAGTGAATCGTTGAATAAATGGTTTTATTGTGCATACGTCCGCATTTAGATTCATTCATATGCGTGCATGAAAGCCTGTCATGTTAATTTTCATCCCAGTTCAGAAATATGTTACTCAAACCCATATCAGCGCTTGCGCGGTGCTGCTGCATACTTGTTATCTGCATAACATACACTCACATCATTGCGTGCGTTGTATGCTCGTTTTGCCCGTTTTCTGATACACGCTCTTTCTTCACGCCTGTCAGGTCCAGCAAATGGCGGACAAGAACCATCCCAACATCGTGCGGCTGCTTGGGTTTGCTTTGGGGGGAGACATGAGGACGCGGCCAGAGCAGGTTCTCATCTACGAGTTTGTACCCAACGGTGACCTCGAGAGGTGGATGGACCCTACAAGTGCGTCTAGCTTGGGTTTCCTCTGCGAGAACTAAGCTTAGAATCGATAGATTAATAATGAGCTTGAAGCTCTTTAAGTACATCCAGGATGAGCAAGGAATGGATGGGGAGGGGAATCGGGGGCAATCTCTAGGGATTGGAGGTAATCCCAAGGCAATCTCCAATTGGTGGGTTGGAGATTGCTTGGAGATCACAACCAAACACAATGTGCAAACTACAATACACTAGGATATAAAAAGTGCAAGTACAAAATGTGAGATTGAGGGCTTAACACTAACATCCTCGTGGTGACTGTGCTTATCATTATACATGTCATAACGCCATGTGCCATGTGACTAATGTCATGTGACTATTCCCATGTGCCTAATGCCATGAGCAACATACTCTGTGCTCATTCCCACCTCTCCTAATGCTGTCTTCCTCCTGCAGAGGCACCCTTCACTTTGACCCTGCCGCAGCGGCTGGGCATCTTAATTGGGACTGCGCGGGGCTTGGAGTATCTCCACAGTTTTGGCTTCGTGCATCGTGACATCAAACCCGCCAACATCCTTATCAGCGCTGACATGCAGGCAAGAAGAGTATCATTGCAAGCCCTCAACAATGAGAAAAGAATGACCTGAATTATCACAGCAGCGTTTTGGATTATCAAAACCTGAGAAGTGTGCATCGCGACACCAAATCCGCGAACAGAAAAAGAGAATAAAAGAAGAAGAGTAAGAATAAAGAAAAAAAACAGCATTCAGTCCATTGTGTTACGTTTCGGTTAATCATAAGTCGACTAAGTTTCGAGGCACCTCAGAAATATATTATCCGTTGTATCACAACAGCCACATAGTCAATCACGGGCCAACCGAGACAGCGCGCATCATGGCATCAACTTTGAATCCTCACTAGTGCAGCCATATTTGTAAAAGAACAACCATGCAACCACGATTGTATTTGTGAATCTATTTTTAGTAAATTCAAACAAAACAACTTTCAGCTATCCAGATCCTTCTCCTATGAACCTTAACACACTGAAAATTGGGATGTATCACCTTGTATTTTGTCTTATAATAGTAAATGGAATGCACATACACGTGGATATTACTTTTCTTCTGAATGGTTCAAATCTGCAATCAGCTCCTTATGGTATGCGCTCTGCAGGACGGAGTATACCCCCATCCAATTACTATCCTACCTATTTCGACTTGGTAAACTCTGTACCCACCAGGCCAAGGTTGCAGATTTTGGATTGGTGAGGGTGGGAGAGGGCACGACAGTGGGTTCTACGCGAGTGATGGGAACACCGGGCTATGTGGACCCTGTTTATTGCAGGACAAATAAGGCAACCACGGCCACTGATGTTTACAGGTACTTGAGGGAATCTGAGGTGATGTTCGTAAGTTCATCATATAAGTCAAATAAATTTTGCATGCATTTGCTCGTAAATCATAAAAGCTCGCGTTCCGCACTGTAGAGGGAAAAGGACGAAGGGGAAGCATGGTTGGCATAAGATCAATGTCGCTCGTTCCAAATGTAGGATCTCCTCTTTTTGCAGGCATGTTATGTTGAACGTCTTCAGATGATTTCAAGCCTTGCTCTTATGATGCCTCACCATGCTGTTGGCAATAACATCTCTCTCCCTCTCCCTATCTATAGCTTTGGAGTGCTCATCCTGGTGGTGCTCACTGGTCGTACTCACATTGCCGAGACTGCAGCGGGGAGCATGCACGTCCTACCTTGGGTGAGCACCACCACCACCACCACCACCACCACCACCACCACCACCACCATCACCACCACCACCACCACCACCACCACCACCACCACCACCACCACCACCACCACCACCACCACCACCACCACCACCACCACCACCACCACCACCACCACCACCACCACCACCACCACCACCACCACCACCACCACCACCACCGCCGCCTCCACCGGTTTTGTGCTCTCACTTTCAAGGCCTGTCAGCTTTGAGCACTTTGGTCTGTTCGAGGTTCGGCCATCTGCCACACACTCACTCACTCACTCCCAGATTCTCCCCTCAAAATCTTTTCCAAACGTCTGCACTCTTCAGGTGGAGGAGTGCCTGTCAAAAGGGGACCTGGCGAGTCTGAAGAGCCCCGGCATGGACGCCCCAGAGGAGGTGTTGCTGCGCCTCACTCAGCTGGCAATCAGTTGCACGGTGGCACGCACGGCAAATCGGCCGACAATGGGAGATGTTGCCAACGAGCTGCAGGCGGCCAGGAACGAAGTGGGGGGAAAGGAGGAGGTGCGTGCGGCAGTTAAAGTGGATGCGGAGGATGAGGAGAGGATGGGTGCAAACAAAATACACCTAGGCCTGGATGAAGAATTAGACCTCATTCACGCTGTTGCGTGATTAACTCGTTACAATGTTACAGCCGACAAGCAGTCGCTTATTCCTCTCTTTTTTTTTAACCTAGTTTAATACTCGACTTCCACGAATTGTTGTCTCAAACAAAGATACCGTAATCCCCTGGATTAACAACCCTAGGGTCTGAAGAAAACTTAAGGGAAAAAAAAGGGTGTTTGTTTAGGTGGAAAAAAATATCCAACACTCGGGTGCATTTTTATGACACTAAATTTTCAATGGAAACAAAAGCAAGTGTTGGCCTTGAATTTTAAGTTTCAATTCAGACACGCGAAAGGGGGTACAAGTCGATGGCTTTGGGTCCACTAGATTCTGCCACCTGGTAGAATCTAGTGGCTCAAGCGAGGCAGTGGGGGGGATTTGGACTGTAGTAGTGATCGTATTGCACCTCGCACAGAGCCACCGTGCATGTGTCGAGGCGATCTCCCTGCCCCACGCTCGGCACCCTCGCTCCCACTCGAGTCGTCCGTCGCCCTTGCCACCGTTTTCCCTTATTGTCACCTCGCTTTTCCGGCCCGCCTCCCTCACTTTCTCTGAATTCCGCCCTCGTTTTTCAGTCACTCCCATCGCTCTCACTCCTATCGCGTTGCTCATCGACCTCGTCTGCCTGGGCACTACCCGTTCGTTGCACTGTTCCATCCCGCCCTTGCATTTCCCCATGCAGATTGCAAGAATAACCCATGAAGATAAACTTCTAGGTACCGTAGGAGGGGGGTGTTATGAAAAGTACACCCAAAAGGGGGGGTATAACGAAAATGAGGCTAAATAAATCACCCACCCCGCATAAGCTACCCGGGGGTCTTCAACTACATCGGGTGGCTTATCCGGGGGATTACGGTATGCTTGCTTTCTTGTGGTACAGCATTCCCCGGTATATAGGACTTGCCGAAAAGACGGTCCCTGGGGACTCTATGGCGGAAGAGGGACTTCTATTTTGGAAGGTTTTGTGAAAACCCTCATTTTCAGGGTAATAATTATAAGACCCCCTTCCCCGCCTCTTGCCCCCTTACATGGAATGTGTTGTGCGAGTACGGATATTATGTCATAGTGATAGAAGTGTGAAAGTTTGCTTAGGCCAACTTCGAAAAGCAACATGCTTTATTAAAAATGGGCAAAGGCATTGTGCTTCATTTCATTTGGGTTAGTACCGTACATTACTCTCGTCCTATATATGCTTACGGTACATAATGTCGGCGGGAAGCTGGCGCGACACACCTTCCCCGACAAGGGCTACGACGCCGACGACGTGCTGGCTGTCGTGCACATCGACCTGTGTGGGCCATTCCGAGTGGCTGCCAAGGATGGCAGCACGTACTTCTTGCTGCTGAAGGATCGCAAGACCCGCCACGTGTGGGTGTGGCCAGTCGCCAAGAAGTCGGATGCGTTGCAGGAGTTCGTGCAGTGGCTGGCGGTGGGTGAGCGGCAGACGAAGAAGTGTTGATGCTGTGCTCTGACCGGGGAGGGGAGTTCCTCGGGAAGGACTTCACCGCCTTCGTGAACGGCAAGGGGATCGTCCACGACCTCACCTGCCCTTACACACCGTAGCAGAACTGGATGGCAGAGCGGGAGATGCGGACGGTGGTGGAATCGGTGCGGACAATGCTGCTGCACATTGTTAACGAGAATAAGTGTTGGCCCCGCCCTCGCTTGGGCAACGCCGACGACTTGGTCGGATGTACGGGAGTAGCAGCCGACCGTTCACAGTGGGAGAGCTGCTCGACAGGCTTCGTCGAGCTGCAGGGGACCGCTGTGGTGTTGCTGTCGACCAGTGAGCTCGACAGCTGCAACTGGCTGATCTAGGCGACGGGTGGGTCGTCGACCAGGTGGGGCAGTTCGACCGGGAGGTCGACAGAGCAGTCCGTCGACCTGCAGTTCGACCCGAAGGTGGACGGAGAAGCCGTCGACCTGACAAGTGAGAAGCGGTCGACGAGGGGAGCTCGGCGACAACTGCTGACGGTTCTGGTCGACGGAAGGGGTCCGTCGACCAGGGGGTAGCTCGACGGGAGCTGTGGTCGACCAGAGGCACCTGGTGGTCAGCCAGAGGGACCCGGTAGTCGACCAGAGGCACTTGGGGGTCAACCAAAGCACTTGGTGGTCGACCAGGTCGACCGGGTGTTCGGCGAGTTCTGCAGAGGCACGCGAACATCGTCGAGGTCGCGATGACGAAGGCGAATTCGGGCTCGTATCCCGAAGTCGATGTGGCTCGTTAGGCGCAGACCAGGGCCGACGGATGTATAGCGGTGCATGTCGGGCCAAATGTCTGCGCGCACCTGCGAGCATGCGCACTGCTGTCCTCTACGGGTGCAACGCTGGACAGCCGCTCCGCTGCAGCGTTGGCACGCCGCCGACCTGCTGCGTTGGCAGGTCGCTCTTCTGCAGTGCTGGCGCGGCTCCTCTACGCAACGCTGGCAGGCGGTCAACCATGCTGTGCTGGCGGTCAGCCAGGCTAGCTGCAGAGTTGCTAAGTGCCTGGTTTCTGTCATTGCTTGTTCAACCATTCTGTAATTTTGACTTTGCTAGTGGAAACTCTTGCCGATTTCTCTCGTGAATGCGCAAGCGCTAAGGAACCAAACAAAGCTACGATCACTCCTAGTAGTTCGTGCCAACCCCTGTAGTCTAGCTCATTACCGTTGTAGAGTGACTCTCCGCATGGTGTGGTGAGCGTGGATGGCCCCGCAGAATACCTTCAGATGGGAGCCGACTTTTGCACCTACTAAGTCGTTCGTAGGCCGGCAGCAGCGATAGTCGCCATGGTCGACCCCGTAGTTGATGCGGGCGTAGCGGACACCTTGGAGGCACGTTTGGCTGACGCGAGGAGACGCCACGCGGATGGCGAGCACGGGACGATCCCCTTGGTGATCGTCGAGTTGGGCATTCGGTTGCACTGGGCGACGGAACACCCTTCCTGTCCTGCATCTCCTCGAATGGTGCAAAACGAAGGTGGCATCGACGATGAGGTCGACGGTGGTGCACGAGTCAGCGGCAGTGAGGGCACGAAGCAAAGAGGGGTGATCAAGGTCGACGGTCGTTTCGACGGGATTCAGGCGCGAGTGCAGCGGTCGACGGCGGCTGCAGGCTCGCGTGCAGACGTTGATGTTCGACGTCGATCTCCTCTACGAAGCGGTGGAGGGCTCTCGGCGACGACACACGTGACGGCGGGCGGGATTGCACCGGCGTATGGCAACTTCAAGTTCTCGCCGGACCGGATCACCGTCGCACCGCTGCAAGGTCGACGGGACCTCATCACCTGGAGGGAGTCGATAGAACCTCAGCTGGAGGTCGAAAGCTGAAGGGCTTCACCGACGGCACTGTGCCCATTCCGCCCGAAGAGGATGTCGAGCTGCGCGGGGAGTTTCGTGCCGCTCACCTGCTCACCTTCATGGTCATCTCGAGGTGCTGCTCGCCGGTGGTGCAGCTAGCGCTCAGGAGCTGTCGAGAGCGACTTAACGCTGGTCACCAAGCATGGCACTTCATCCTGTCGATGTACCAGGTGAAGGACGACCTTTACATCGGACAGCTGGAGGAGAAGATGACACACATTTGGATGGGCGAGCAGGAGTCGGCGACGGACTACTGCAACCGTGCTCGACGGATCCTGGCTGAGATGCGGATGGCGGGCGTCGAGTACTCGACGGCGTCCTACATCACCCATATCCTCAAGGGCCTGCCGCGCAGCTACAACCTTATGAAGAGGTTTACGATGGTGCCCGGCACGCATGAGTCGCTCGACGAGGACTCCCTCACTAGCTACATTCTCCAAGACGAGGCGATGTTGGAGGCCGAGCAGCCCACGGAGCTCCTTCTGCTGGCGAACTACGCTGCACCGACGAAGCTGAATCAGCAGCAAGGGCAGCACGGGAAGCCGGGCGGAGGTGGTAGCAGAGGTGGGCGGTCGACGAAGGGCGTCGACGAGAAGAGGTCGACGCGGGACAAGGGTCGACAAGGTGGTGGTCGATGGCGGGAGTGCTGGATCTGCGGCGACCCCGACCATCTCTCCTTCGAGTGGCCCGACCGCAATGACAGCGACGAGGACGACAGCAACGGAGGTCGCGGACGGTCGACCAGTCGTCGTCCCCGTCGAGATGCGAAGCTGCGCAAGGAGAAGCAGACGTCGAAGAAGACGTCGTTGACGAAGGATGTCGACAGCTCCAGCGGCAAGGGCCAAGGAGACGCGGAGGCGTCGTACTCGATGGTCGGCGTGGTGGAGCCGACACTCTCGCTGGCACCGGAGGCTCGCGAGGACTTCCAGGCGGTGGCGGCAGCTGTGCAGGCCAACCCGATGGCGATGCTGCTTGACAGCGGGTGCTCCCACCACCTGATGGGGACGAAGGCGGTCTTCGTCGACATGGCGCCGAGCGACGGAGTGAAGCACGTGCGTGGATTCAACGGGGCGCTGCAGCTTGTCGAGGGTCGCGGAACCGTCGCTCTAGAAGGGGAGGCCAGGAAGCAGGTCCTCATCCCCGACGTGCTCTACGTTCCGGGAGTACAGGCGAACCTGCTGTCAGCTGGCCAACTGAAGGAGAGCGGAGTGTAGCTGCAGGGCGCCGGCGACGAGATGCTGCTCATCGCCGCCACCGGGGAGGTGCTCGGTCGAGCACGCTACACCGGACGAGTCCTCTGCACCGACCTTCGCCCCTACTCGATGCGGTCGCCGTCGACTGAGGTGGTGGCCTTGCGGACGATCGTCTCAGCGATGAAGGCGACCCGTGACCGATTGCATGCGAGGCTCGCGTACGTCGGCGTCGACACGATCAAGAGCTCGGCGAAGCATGAAGTCGCTGTTGGGCTCGACATCACGCCGTCGACCGGAGCAGGGCCCGCTGTGTGCCTCGTGCGTCGGAGGAAAGCTGGCACGGCACACCTTCCCCGACAAGAGCTCGGACGCCGAGGAGGCACTGGCTGTCGTGCACATTGACTTGTGCGGGCCAATTCGAGTGGCTGCCAAGGATGGCAGCTTGTACTTCCTGTTGCTGAAGGATTGCCACACT